ATGTGTTTATTTCAATGATGGGAGAAGATTCAGGACATATTTTTGATAATAAGTAAATAAAGGTGTCATATGTATCATCAGACGCTATACGAAGCCTATGCACTTGATTGCAGTTAAAATATTTTAATCCAGCACAAAAACATTCAAGTGTAGTAAGTGTGTTGTATTATAGAAAGATCAACGTTGGCATGTGACGCAACAGTTCTACTACAGTATCACTCGTAGCAAAGTTATATAGACGGCTTCGGTGTTTGTAAACAAACTAGTTTGCGCCGAACGTCTACCCCAGCAGACTTCTGCTTCGCCACTTCCGGTAATGCTTATTCAATGGTCCCGGCGTTTTTTCGTGGTGTGTTCGAGTTTGCTGCTGTATTATTTCTGGCGAATTCTATAGAATGTATTTGGTGCAACGTCAAGCGGCCACTTGAAGGGGCTCGATGTAGTGCATGGCAGGTGCAGGTGCGGCCACTGCTGCAGGTAACACGGCTCGCGTGGCCGACGGGCGCCGCACAAAATATCTGCCGTGGTGTTCCAATGAGCGCAGCCTCCTCCTCCGTGTTACTTCTGGCAGTGGCCGCCCCTTCAGGGGAAGCTTGTCAGTGAAGTTGTTCAATTCAGCTTTCGGCTAGAACTGAAAAGCTTCCTCCTGTCAAACCCCGAACATATTTGTGTTTTCGTGTAAGCACAAAACCTCTAGATAAAAGGCTTATTTTGCGCCTGTGTCATGCCGGGCACTCTCAAGATCATCGGCGTTCGGAATTTCTCGCGATCCAGAGTGTTCGCATGACTGGGAAAATATAAAGTGTGCTATTGGTTATGTGATGACATCCAATGGGGTTTGGTCCCGTGAACTATTATAGTTTACTCACGAGTAAGCTATTCATGAATCAAACTTTCAAGCTGAACCCACCTAAGCCATGTTCACACCGAAAGCTAAATGAGCTAGAATGCAGGGATATTAACTAGCGGCAGAAATACAGGCGATGAGTCATTTGCTCGTGCAGATGAGTGCCCACTCGCCAGCGTCGCTTTCAAAAAACAAAAACAAAAAACAAATGCAACGACAACTGAAACGTGGATACCACGACGGACACAGTGCGGCAATTCATGTGGAGCATGGCTACTTTGTGCCCCATGTTTCAAACAGTACGCATCGTTATTATCGTTCAAACTATACGAGAAACACCTTTGCGATACATTTTCAGTGTTCGCTTTCACCTTTCGTTACCCATTGCACGCGTCAGTACACGTATCTGCCATGAGTGGGAGACGACAGTGACTGATGTGTTCCCTGGAAGCGGGACCTTCGACTAATCTAAAGTCTGAGTATCGTCCCTGTGCCATTAGTGTATCTAGTGTACTTAGTGTGCGCTAAGCTTTACATTGGCTTTAAAGAAGTGGGAAGAACAAGCCTACCCGCTCTTAACGGGAATTCAGTTTTCTCTCGTGATCAAAACAGAACATTTTGAATAGCAAATAAAATTAGTTAAGGCTTGCAGACTACATCCTGGCTTGACAAAGCTGTGCCCGAGTTGCAAGCGGTTCATGGAATAATTTTATCCGCATAAAATAGCAGAACACATGCAGCCACGGCCAACAACAAAGATTAGATTGCGCAAGAACAAGCTAAACTGAATGTTTCCTGGGGAGGTTTTTTGGTAAACGCACAATGTTGCCAGAGACCGACGCGAAACAGTCTTTAAGAGGTTTACTACGGTGCTTGTGAGCACGGTAACGTCTGCTGGCGTATTAATGTAATTATTAAAACATTGCGAAACTAATAAAGTATGAAATTTATGTGACACTGGCAGATTGGACATATATATACTGCAGTCTCCGTTCAAAATAAGTTCGACTATTTGAATTTGCAAAGGCAAGTAATGCTTCAAAATGTTCTATGAATGACGGCATATTTCCGTCTGGTGGGCTATAGATTAAAGACATGCTTTTCAAACTTCACAGCAGGACGTTAAACATGAGAAGAAGTAAAGTAAGTTTACTGTATATTGGAAATTTCTGATTGACCAATCTCCATATCTAGCACCCTCGTCATAAACCTGAAGCACAAGGCATCATCACGCTAAATCTTTAACACATTTCTGCGAACGTAACGCTTGTAAATATATTGATATTTCTCACGCATGCTCTCAGAGTGGAACGAAACGATTTAAACCTCTTCTTAGTACCTTTTCATTTCTTGTTCTACACTAAAATAACACTGTGGCAAAACTTCAGTTATATACTTACTGCATTGCTGTTTTGCTTCAAATTGCAAAAATAATTCTCTTATTTGTATTCATTTGTGGTAATTATTTTTTCTACAGTAATCACACATATAATTATTAATCTGTAGTTTATTTTCCATTCTTTATGCCTGTCTTTCACAGTAACTCTTACAGGACCACTTCCTTGTGGCATCGATCGTATGTGATCTTCGGCTTTCTGTAAGCTGCCGAGTTAAAACTTTCACATGCTCTTTGCATGTATTACCATTTAGCATCTAATTTTATAACTAAACTTTCAGTTTTGTCATAGTCTGGCATTTTTCTAGAAGGAAAAATGGCAAACTATGACAAATAAAATACATGAAAGAGAGAGAGATTTGTCGGTAACAGTGATGGCAAACGCAGTGCACCATGGCTATGTGCCCATGTCACGTTGCACAGCGAAACCGATGTGAACAGCACGATTTCGCCACTCTGATGGCTTATCTTTAGCATAAGTAAGCCTCCCGCAGATTATTTTGAAAGCTCGAATTTGATTTTAAAGAGCAATCAGGACGAGAACTGACCTGGGACACCAGCCAGTACATTTAGATGAGTGTAGCTTCACATTCAGCTTTCTTGTGAATAGCCAAAGAGGCTAAGCTCACATTGCTTTATTTCTGTTTGATTTTGTCCCAACGAAATTTTAGACAATCGCTCATCTATCAGCTTCACAACCAAGCCCGCCCCTGCTTCTCCACCTCACCCACTTCCATTTGTGAGGCACCCGATCGACAAGTGAGAAAAAAAGTGACTGGCACAAGAACACTGTGAGGAGTAGAAGAAAACCACGCGGAAAATAAATGTTGTTTGCAGAACATGTAAAGTACTGTACATTCAAATTTTGCTACTGCACAAAACTGGACAGTCTGGCATGGTGTTGAAGTACCAAAACAAGCATGATGTAACATGACATTATTGTAAAGAACGAAGGCAGAAGTAACCACTAGTTTCAGAGTTGTTCAATTCGACAAGTTGCCAAACTCTCTGTAGGCTCTATGTATCGAAATACAGACACGCCATTGGCCCACATGTAAGAAATGTACAGATTGTTGTGTCACCTGTTCATCAGCACACCAGCCATCAGACATTATTGTGTTTTGCATTGTGGCTCCAGGATAACGCGACAGTCAGCTAGTTCCCTCAAAATAAGGTCTACTGTGTGTTTTGGAACGCCGTTTTGTGACTGGTAAGATTGAATAACTCTGACCAGTTCTGATCAGAAGAAATTTACTGGAACGCTTAAAACATCAGAGGCTCCAAATTGGCAGATGGAGGCAAAAGCACATGTTGCGACTTCAAAACAAAAGTACTCTGCCATGTTTTGAAGAAACTTGGGAACAATATGAAAATTTCAAGCAAGGAGTGTTGTAAACCCAGGCACGACTCGTGTTTTACTGCACTTGGCCATTTCCATTTGCATTGGAAGGAAACGTTGAGCAGAAACTTGGCGACACCCTTCGTCCTGGCTGTAAATGAAAACTACAGCTCCATTCATGTATGTATTCAAAAAAAGCAGTACTCCCTTTTCTGAAAGCAGATCAATGCCCACCTCCAGGAGAAGAGAACTGGAAGAGAACAATGTTTAGTGTACTAGACAAGTCTTTGGCTGATTAACAACTCTCACTCACTCTAGAGTAACAAGCATTGTTAAAAGAAAACACCAGTCTGAGGTTGTAGAGCTTCAGCACACTGCTTCGGGGATGGCTAGAATGCCCACAATCTTTTTGTGGAAAGTGCCCACACACTGCCTTTAGCGGCGTCCTGATTGGCTAGTTGCATAATAAAAACACCTTAACAGCTGCTCTTGGTATTTGCACAAGGCAGTACTGGTGAACTTTTCATACATGCCAACTTATCATGAGCCTGACAACGCCCACTGCAGGCAAGGCCTCTAAACCCGGTCCTATGCTATGTTATACCCGCAAATTCCTTAATCTCATCTGGCCACCTAGCTTTCCGTTACCCTCTGTGTTTGCTTTCATTCCGAATTTAGTCAGTTGCGCTTACTGACCAGCGGATATTCTGCCAATATGTTACGTGCACTGCCCGTGTCGATTCCTTCTTTTAGATTTCAATTACGATGTCCTTCACACGCATTAGCTGTCCGACCCACCCTTCTCTCTTACGATATCTCAAGGTTACACCTATCGTTTTCCCTTACGTTGCTCGTTGCGTCGTCCTCTCATTGTAAGCCTCCACGTTTCTGCTCAGTAGTGAAGTACCGGTAAGATGTAGCTGCAGCTGCTCCTCGGCAAACGTGTTCCTTCACAACTTCCAGCGTCTCGCTACCGAGATGGTTGCGCATTATTTATTGGATATATCCCTCCGCGTTCTTTGTCCAGTTCAGTAATCATGAGTTGATGGGGGCGGAAATGTTGTAGGCCCGTGTGCTCAGATTTGGGTGCACGTTAAAGAACCCCAGGTGGTCTAAATTTCCGGAGCCCTCCACTACGGCGTCTCTCATAATCATATAGTGGTTTTGGGACGTTAAACCCCACATATCAATCAATCAGTAATCATGAGTTGTAATTCGAAGTTTACCATAAGGTACCCTTCAGTACCTCATTCCCGATCTCGGGTCCCGAAAACTTTCTATAAGCACGTCGTGAATAGCATTGGGGAGACCATGTTTTCTTGCCTTACACGTACCGTTCTTTATTGGGATTGCATCGTTTTTTTTTTTTGTAATGTCAACACATGCCACCTAGTAAGCTCAGATATTCGAAATCTTACCTCATCTCTCGAGCTCTTCGAGAATGCTGTCCCCGGTGAATTCTGTTCACCAACGAACAGCGATGACACCACGCCAGGCTTTAGAAGAGCAGATTTTAACGGAGTTCCCATTACGCACACAAATAACACTGATTGAAATTGCTATCACTAAATTGTATCGAGCAAACCAACAGCGGTGTTCAAATTTTTCAAGTATACTGTCTCTAACCGAAGGGATCCGCAGAGTAGCTCGTGTTTTCTCATGAGGGAAGTTGTGATGCGGTACATCGTTCCGATTGTAGATTCTTTGTCAGCCGTACACGGCGATGGGCGAGCTTTTCCGTCCTGTAGCAGCTCTTGGAAGCGTAAGCCATAAACGCAGGCTGGCCAAGTCAATTATCCAGGATGAGAATAATAACTATCGCGGAAAACAGTTAAGAAAATCGGCACACGAACGACTGGTACGCAGCGTCTTCACGGCGGTTCAGCACACACACTACGCGTATCATGGGTGCCGCCATCTTAACTACAAAAAAAAAAAAAGTTATTTATCTGGGCTATTTGAGAAAACCCCGCTAGGGCACCGTGCTTGGTTCCGCTTTCGTTTTCGCGTGTTCCAGCTTTTGTTTGGTGTTCATAATGCTGTCCGTGCAAAATAAAAGCAATTGATGACCCATCGCGTTGGTACGAATACCGCCGACTACAGGACCTTGAAACGTTGGATGATTCTTCTCCTGCCAGGGCGTTTCTCTCCGGACACCACGAAGCACTCGCACGCTCCTCCAAGCACTTGGCACTGTCATCTGCTAGAGTGGATGACATTGTGCCACCAGTAAGATCAGAGCATTGTGCGCGTTCCACCCTGCGTGCAGTCCTCGGCTTCATGGAGGTTGCGCAACTGACCGAGCGCCTCTAAAGGCTCACCGACTAAGCCTAGAACTCACGACGAGGCACTTCAGCTTTTTGTGTTACCAGTGCTTTGTAATTGTGCCTCCAACATACCTACTCCACTCTAATTTCCTTCTTCCTTACCTTTTTTTCCCAATCCCAAGAGTCGCGGTTGTGGTGTCCTCGCCTGAGAGACAGTTACTACTGCGTCACTCAACCACGCTTTTCACCTCCTACCAAAATAAAGTTGTTTCCCTCTCTCTCACCTCCTATCAAGAATCCCTATTTGGCCTAGGTATTTTTTTTTTCTCGTTTTTTGCAACTGGTGAAAATGCGGTCATCACGGCCAAGTTTGGAGTGCACCTATTATGCGAGTTCACCCATCATGAGCGTAAATACGGTACTCCAGCTCCCCTGTCCAGCGCCTGTCCAGATCATTTAGTCTACGTTACATATTGTTTGCCATGAGTAAGTCCACAATGCACAGTCCACATTTTCATTTTTCTCTGCTTCCCTCTGCCATTATGATCGGGGCTGGGACAATCGAGAACACCGATTTGTCAAAACGAGTCTGTTTAGTGAGCACCGCTAAGGTGAGGGTGCATGCTTTGTGGTAAAATTTTTCATCTCAGCAGCGCCTTGCACTTTTTGTGTTGCACTTCCTGATCAAGTTGATTGATATGTGGGGTTTAACGTCCCAAAACCACCATAAGGTTATGAGAGACGCCGTAGTGGAGGGCTCCGGAAATTTTGACCACCTGGGGTTCTTTAACGTGCACCCAAATCTGAGCACACGGGCCTACAACATTTCCGCCTCCACCGGAAATGCAGCCGCTGCAGCCGGGATTCGATCCCGCGACCTGCGGGTCAGCAGCCGAGTACCTTAGCCACTAGACCACCGCGGCGGGGCGTTCTGATCAAGTCATTTTGACACAAGTGGAAATTGCACAAAGCTTAGCTTGCTCACGGAGTGCCCATGGCATAACTGCTCATGCCGTTTACATTACAGAAGTTGGCCTAGTGCTGACAGCAATGTACACCTACACTTTTTTGCTACCAAGAAGGGTCAGAAGACCGAACAAGACAACAGCCCAACCAGGTTGAATTTTTATTTCACAGAAAACTTATAGCACATTCACATCGTACAGGTGATCGGGTCAATGATTAATTTTGGACAGGGATGTTGTTTACCTGTCCATAAAGGGAATCATGCAGGCCCAACCCCGTTTGGGCTGTGCCGTGGTGTTTTCGAGAATAATATGCAATGCAGTGGACATGGGAAAATATAAATTCTTTTGTGTGTGTGTGTGTGTTTGTATGTGTCCCATGAGGCTGTTTCGTTGACCAAAGGATGCATTACAGCACACAGAAGAAAAAAGCAGCTCTCCAGTGTGAATGCACGTGTGCTCAATCAGGTGGTCTTTCATAGAAATAAATATATTGCAGTGCACAGGAAGAGGGACGTTCTCCTGTGTGAATGCAGATCTACCTAATGCGTTTTCATGTCACAAAAGAAGATGTATTGCAGTGAACACCGAGAAATAAATCCTCTCCAGTGTGCAAGCAAATGTGTGTCACAATGTTTTTTTTTTTCACTCAGTACGTATGGAGGAGAGATAGAAAAAGGGATGCCACCAAGTGCGCATGCGAATGCATCTTACAAGGTTTGTTTTCTTCACAAAGCATATATCTCTGTGGACACAACAGAAGCAACGCTGTCTTGTGTGAGTACGAGTGTGTTGAACGAGGGGGCCTTTAACTGAAAAGGGTGCATTGAAGAGTACACAGCAAAAGGGACATTCTTCTGTGTGAATGTGCACAATGAGGTTGTATTTCAGAGAAAAGGATGCATAGCAGTGGACACAAGAGAAAGGTCTCTTCTCTGTGCGAGTGCTCATGTGCTTATTTAGGTGGCTTTTCTGCTCGAAAGATGCCTCACAGTGGACACACGAGAACGGTCGCTCTCCTGTGTGAGTGTGCATGTGCTTACTTAGGTGGCTTTTCTGCGCGAAAGATGCCTTACAGTGGACGCAAGAGAAGGGTCGCTCTCCTGTGTGAGTGTGCATGTGCTTACTTAGATGGCTTTTCTGCACGAAAGATGCCTTACAGTGGACGCAAGAGAAGGGTCGCTCTCCTGTGAAAGTGTGCATGTGCTTATTTAGGTAGCTTTTCTGCACGAAAGAGGCCTTAAAGTGGACACAAGAAAAGGGTCGCTCTCCTGTGTGAGTGCGCATGTGCTTATTCAGGTGGCTTTTCTGCTCACAAGATGCCTTACAGTGAACAAAAGAGAAGCGCTGCTTTACTGTGTGAGTGTGCACGTGGGTATTTAGGTGGTTTTCTGCACGAAAGATGCCTTACAGTGAACACAAGAGAAGGGTCGCTCTCCAGTGTGAGTGTGCATGTGCTTATTAAGGTGGCTTTCCCTCACGAAAGATGCCTTTTAGTGAACACAAAAGATGCTCTCCTGTATGAGTGTGCATATGATTATTTAGGTGGATTTTCTGTATGAAAGATGCCTTACAGTGGACACAAGAGAAGGGTCGCTCTCCTGTGTGAGTGCGAATGTGCTTATCTAGGTGGATTTTCTGCACAAAAGATGCCTCACAGTGGACACAAGAAAAGGGTCGCTCTCCTGTGTGAGTGCGCATGTGGTTATCTAGGTGGATTTTCTGTACAAAAGATGCCTTACAGTGAACACAAGAGAAGGGTCGCTCTCCAGTGTGAGTGTGCATGTGCTTATTTAGGTGGTTTTTCTGCACGAAAGATGCCTTACAGTGGACACAGGAGAAGGGTCGCTCTCCTGTGTGAGTGCGCATGTGCCTATTTAGGCGGCTTTTCTGCATGAAAGATGCCTTACAGTGGACACAAGAGAAGGGTCCCTGTCCTGTGTGAGTGCGCATGTGGTTATTTAGGTGGCTTTTCTGTGCGAAAGATGCCTTACAGTGGACACAAGAAAACTGTCGCTCTCCTGTGTGAGTGCGCATGTGCCTATTTAGGTGGCTTTTCTGCACGAAAGATGCCTTACAGTGGACACAAGAGAAGGGTCCCTGTTCTGTGTGAGTGCGAATGTGGTTATTTAGGTGGCTTTTCTGTGCGAAAGATGCCTTACAGTGAACACAAGAGAAGGGTCGCTCTCCTGTGTGAGTGCGCATGTGCCTATTTAGGTGGCTTTTCTGCACGAAAGATGCCTTACAGTGGGCACAAGAGAAGGGTCGCTCTCCAGTGTGAATGCGCATGTGCTTATTCAGGTGGATTTTCTGCACGAAAGATGCCTTACAGTGGACACAAGAAAAGGGTCGTTCTCCTGTGTGAGTGCGCATATGCACGATAAAGTGGCATTTTTTCGTAAAGGATGCCTTGCAGTGCGTACAGGAGAAGGGATGCTCTCCTGTATGAGTACGCATATGCTCAATAAAGTGGCCTTTCAGCAAAAAGATTGCACTGCAGCGGGCACAGGAGAAAGGCTGCTCTTTTGTGTGGGTGTGCACATGAGTCGCCAGCTTGGACTTATGAATGAATGCAGCTGGACAAAAGTGGCACTGGAAAGGAGGCTCGCCCATGTGTTTCTGAAGGTGCTTGCTCATGGTTGACTTGTCCAGGGTCACATAGGTGCACTGCTGGCAGAAATGATGTCGGCCTCGTACAGACGACAGTGAATAAAGCTGTTCCAAGGACCCACAGGATAAGGGGCCTGCAAAAGCAATCGACAGCACACCAAGTAGATGGAAATTATGTGTGATACACTACAGGGGTATAGACAGATATTTTTCTTCAGATTGGGAAGAGGGGAAGGCGCCTTCTTGATTATAGGAGGGCACCTTTTTGAATTGGTCATGTTTCGCTCTTTATGCCATGGCGAGAAAAATTAAGGGGGAGGGGCACACAGGTCTGGTGTGCCACCCCCTGGCTATGGCCCTGATACCCTACAAAGAACTGGAGTATGGCAGCAATACCCAATAGCTGCTGTGCATATGTAAGAAAAGTAGATGATCATCTTTTCTCTCATGAACCAAAGGTACTGTGTCTGCAACAGGACACAGACACCTCAAGTGTTACAAACACTACTATTTCACTGCAGATACATTCAATGGCCAACAAATGCGAACAGCAGGTGCCCAAAAAATATAATACGGTTTAGCTGTCATTCCGTTGCTGTGTCAAAGACATTGAAAGTGTCTGAATGTGCACAAATAAAAACTAGCCTATTAAGCTACTTACTGTACATCTGTTTACAGAGAAGTACTCGGAAAACACTGCACAACTAAATAACCGATTTCATATTACAGCACATAAATCCTAGTACAAAAAAAGTGATACAGAGAAGGGGGACCTTCTTTCTTTGCTCTGTCTGTTTGCGCAGCCAATGTTGTTGTAATAACTGACATGGGGCAAAATAGAAAAGCAAACAAAGAATTACATTTATAAAGGTTACAATTACATCATGGTTGTGATTATTAGGAATTACAGCCAAGTGCAAGGTTCGATGGAAACTTGTCTGGTTGCGAAAACTCATGGCAGGAAATAGTAAACACCGACAAATCATTCAAATGAGAACAAAAATGATGTTTTGCCTAATTATAAAGGTATTGTTCACAAATATTATTCGTGAAAAAGTTCACCGAAGTAGGGCCAAACTAAAAGTTCTGTTATTGTTCTTTGTTAACAAGGCTCTAGTAAAGCAGGTTCTTTTTATGTTAGTAAGAGCTCTCTAAATTGAAGCCTAGCTGAGAGTAATAATGAAGGATAAAGCCGTTTGCTTCAGAAACAGCCCACAAACATTTCATCAAGAATGAAAGTGAAAGAAACCAGTCTTTATAAAAAATACACATTTCACAAAAAGGCCGCTGCCTGTAGTGAAGCACTTCTATTAACCCCAACAAGAAAGTTCAAAGCGTTAAACAAAATTTAGTTCGCATACGGGTGAGCGGTGTAGTACGGAAAAATATCAGTTCAGTCTCATCAACTTGCAGAGGCTTGATGGGACACAAGCACCTAGTTGACGCGAGTTAGTCGCTTGCGGCGAAGCAACACTGGCGACTGGAGACGCGTCAATAAACCAGGGAGGCAGCTGGGAGCACAGTTTGGATCCATATCCCAACGACTATTGCTTGCCTGTCGGTAGGAAAGTTCGCAGACCCTTTGCGGGAGTTCAGGAGCGGAGGGCTACGGTCTTCTCGAGCTGGAATGCAGTGACCGGAGGCCCTGGCCGGTTGAAGTCTTCTTGGCTCGAGTCTGAAACCCGATGCGCATCTTCAGCGCCAAGTTCGGTGACAACCTTCCGCTCGGCACGTCCTTTTTGAGCTCCCCCAGCTCTTCTGTGGCTCAGAATCTTGCTTGAACACCGGCCCACTTGTTCCGTACTGATTGGATGCGTCAAAACTTTGTGGTCGCTGCCCATTGGTTCTTTTTAGTCTTGTATTATGTTCACGTTACCCCACGCATCATCGTGCTTCATCTACGCAGCTCCTCGCGTGTACTCTGTCATCTCTTCCTTTTTTTTCTCAGACGAGCACTTTTCAAAAGTGGCACTTCAAAAGTGCACCACACTCATCACACCCCCATAGCAGGGCTGAAATGTCATTTCTGTTTTTGTTTCACCATCGTCGTCTACGCAGCACCACGCATGCGCTCTGTCATCTCTTCCTTTTTGTGACACACACTTAGGTGCTTACTGTTAGCACCGTAGAATCAATTACAACTGTAGTGGAGCATACGCACTTCCGTATGCGCCTCCCAAAGAGAACGAAAAACACCGTGCTCTGATTGGACGAGAACCTGGGCCGCCTTCGCCAAACTTGTGGTACGGCCATTTTTCGTTGCGACACCGTTGCCACTTCTCTGCTTCAAAAACGTCATCACATTTGGTCGAGGCTGCTGAGATCCCCAAGCAGACCTGGAGCTCCGCTCTCGCAAGTTGCCCGAGAGACCACGGCGAAACATTACGGACGCAGTTGCCAACCAGCCCATCCCAGCCCAGCCAGCACCATCGGCGGTCCCGTCTACCTGCCCCGGCGCTACTCGCCAACGAGACCCACCAATCTTCAGCGGCAGTGGTGAGCAAGACGTCGAAGACTAGCTCTCCTTGTACAAACGCGTAAGTGCCAGCAACAAGTGGGACAACGACTCTAAGCTCGCCTACGTTATCTTCTACTTGGCAGACGTAGCTAGGCTTTGGTTTACCAACCGCGAAACCGCCATCGCCAGCAGGTCCTCCTTTAAGACCCTCGTGACTGAAGCGTTCAGCCAACCAGAGGTCTGCAAGCTCCGCGCTGACCAGCGCCTGCACCACCGAGCCCAGCAGCCTCGGCGAGAAGTTTACTAGTTACATACAGGACGTGCTCGACCTCTGCAGGCGTGTGAATCCATCTATGCTTGAAGAAGAGAAAATTAGGCAGATTCTCAAGGGCATCGAGGATGGCGCAATCCAGATGCTGCTAGCGAAAAGCCCGACCACGGTGGCAATCCTCGTAAGCTTCGGCCAGAGCTTTGATGAATTGCGTCGTCAGCGTTCCATCGCCCGACAGAGTGTGCCACCGCCGGATTCGATCTCGGCCGTCGCACTCGCAAATGCCAACGTTCGCCAAGAAAGTCTGTCCAACCAGATCGAGGACTTCATCAGGGAGGAAGTCGCCCGACAGCTCTCCCTGCTGCCGCATGGCGACGCGCCCACCGCATGGCGACGCGCCCACCGCAAGCCTGCCTTTGACACTGCAGCAGGCCATACGTACTGAAATTTGCGATGTCCTCCCTACAGTGCAGGCTCCTTAACCAT